ACTCAATCCTCTGTCCACTGGTGTAGAGGGCATCTTATTCTCCATGGAAAAAAATCTCAAAAGCTTTTTCCAGATGGGAGAAGAGCCACCCTCCTCTAAAGAGTAAGGGAAGGAATACAGAGAAATTCTTCCAGAGATTTTAGACCAGTAGTCTTACTTACGGGAATTTCCAAGCTATCTGAAACTAATAGTGGCTAAGACTTCTGCAGGGTTCCATGGTGACAATGAGCTATTTCCCAGTTTTTCACGTTGTCAGCTTAGGATTCAACTTTCCTAAGTTGCTAAGTCAGTTAAGAATCATCTTTTGGCTCTTCATTTTCCAGAATGCTATCTCTTCTTTTTGTCCTTATAGACTTGTGTCTTTTTTAAAAGACTAAATTCAGGGGTGCCTGGTTGGCTCTGTCAGTGGAGCTTGTGACTCCTAATCTTAGGGTCATGAGTTCAAGTCCCACATTGGGTGGGGAGCCTACTTAAAAATAAATAAATAATAAAAATAATAAATACTAAAAGCAAGTCAAAGGTTGGGAAAAAATATTTTAAGATTTTATTTTTGAAAGACAGAGAGAGAGAGAGAGAGAGAGAGAGAGAGAGAGAGAGAGCATGAGTGGGGGGGAACAGAGAGAGAAGCAGACTCCCCCCACTGAGCACGGAGTCCATTTCGGGACTCGATCCCAGGCCTGAGCCGAAGGTAAACACTTAACCGATTGAGCCACCCAGGCGCCCTTTATTTTTTAAATTTATTTGTCGGAGACAGAGCAACCACAAGCAAGGGGAGTGGCAGGCAGAGGGAGAAACAGGCTCCCCGCTGAGCAGGGAGCCCAATGCGGGGCTCGATCCCAGGACTCAGGGTTCATGACCTGAGCCAAAGGCAGACACTTAAGCACTGAGCCACCCAGGCATCCCAAAATGTGTATATTTAACCTGTCATCTTTATCTCAAATTGGTTAAAGCACTTTCTTCAGTTATTTCCTCAAAAAAGGTATATATAATGATATATTTCTGAATCTTCATTCTAAAATCTCTTTCCATAATTGAGAAGCAAAGGATATGTTAGTTGGGTATAGTACTCTTGGGTTAATTTCTTTCTAATGAAGTAGATATCTTAAGATTTTCTCATTTCCAGTATATGAAGTCTGAAGATGATTCTCTGCATATGACTTGGTGTTTCTTTTTTCTTTCTAGAAGCTTTAAAAGTGTTTTGTTCTTGATATGCCTACAAGAGCTACTTTTTATCATTAATCTTGTCTGAAACTCAACGAATCTTTCCAATGACACTTCAACGTTTTCTCAAGAAGAGTGAAAAAAAAAAAAACCTCCCCTATTATTTCTTTTTAAAATTAACCTTCCTTTATTTATCCATTTTTCTCTTCATGAACTATTATGTACATACAAAAATCTCTCGGGTCTTCCTTCCACATCTCTGACTTCACACCTTATTTCCTTCGCTTTAGCGTTTTACTACATATTTTGAGAAACTTCCATTTATTCCTTAGGGTCACTAATCTGGTTCTTAGAAGTGGCCATCCTGCCTTTCACTTTGCTGAAACATTTCTAAAAATCAGTTCTTAGTTCATTAAAGTCTTTCTCCTCTAATTTAATTAAATGTTCTTACTATTTTTCAGTAAGCTCAGTCATCTGACTCTCACATGAGGTCTAAAACACCTCCCATCCTCAGGGATTCCTCGAGGCCTTCCATCTTAGATGGTAATCCTTTTCCTTTGTACTCATGGCTCTGTTTGCTCTCAATAGTCATGTCAAAGGACTAGGCACCAGTTTGCTGATAAGTGATTAACAACCAACTTGGGTATGAAGAGAAGAGAAACACACCAGTGCGCAGAATTTGCAGTTGCTTTACTGTAAGTACTTTCTCCAAGGCTGATTTCCAACAATCAGCATCTCATCAGAAAGAACAGATTAGGCAGAGGTGAGCAGCCGTGCCCTAGAAGAGTCCTTGGAGAGGAGCTACATTGGTCTAAACACTGCCTCATCCTTGAGGTCAACCCTGATTGCCTCAATCAGAATTGGTTACTTTTTCCTCTGTGCTCCAGATATTTTGCTTCTATCTTCACTTAGCACTTATTTTGTCCTGTAGTGTAGTTAGTTCTTTACATATTCATTTCTCTTGTGATATAAGCTCCTAAGTGCAAGGAAAATACATTATTTGTTTTTCAATTTCTTCGAGAGCCTACAGCAATCATTTGTTGAATGACTTTAATGACTCAAAGGCAACACAAGAGTCCAAGTATTAAAGTACCACTATCACCAGCTAGCCCCCAAGACATGATCTTTACTGCCCACCTGCTTGTGCTCACCAACCTCTGGCCCAAATTTTTCCTTACACTCTTCTTTCTAGTTTCTCTCTTAACTCAGACAGAAGACTCTAGGGGCATAATATCCTGTGATGGAAACCTAAACTAGCCCTCAAGCAATAACGACTGCCTAAAGAATCCCAGTTGGGCCGACCACCCAGACCAGTTTGAAATCAACCCCCGACTCACACCTGAGCAGATAGACAATGGAATGACAGTTATTTTTCCTTCTTTATATTAAAATCTCCACCAAAGGAAGAACACAAGCCTCATTTACATAATATACAACGTATGTACAGGCATGTTTCCTTATGGCACATGCGTGACCTTATGCCCGTCTTTACATACTATGACAAGGCTCCCTATCTAAATATTCATCCTAACCCTAAATAATAGGAACCCATGCACCCATGCTCAGAGAGTCACAGCTTTGGAAGTTACTCCCCGGGATCTCCTTATTTGCTGCAAACAAAGTATCCTTTGCGTGACAACTCCACCTGATGTGGTTTCTATCTGTGACTCACCAAGGAGCAAACTCACATTGATTTTGTTACACCATTTTTAAAGGTATAGAAATAAGGGACTAAATTTAATGGTAAAGAGAGAAGTGTAATCAATGGTATATTACTTGTGTTGAATCAAATTTTTACTAAAGATATGCAACTTTCCAAAAGAGGAAAGTTAATTGTGATCATTTCCTTTGATACAGCAAGAGGTTAAACTGTAGCAAGGCAGCAGGGAAAGGAGTCCAAAGTGTTCATTACAGGCCAATTGCACTGACAGTTCTTAAAATATCTTCTTCCTCATTTTCCCTTTATTCCAAAATCAAAATATTATCTTTCCCATTTTTTATTTATTTTTCAGAATCAAGGAATAGCCTTTCGACATCAGAATCTGGTTAAGTATATACGAAGAATACATTCCTGTGTAGCCTATGTTTTAGTTTTAAGCACAGTCATTCCAAAGGTCAATCTTAGAACCTTTAGTAACACTGTCCTAGTCTACAAATAAATTCAGGATAATAAACATATATATAATAGAAAATTTTAATGCAGTCATAAAAACAGGCACTTGCCTGTGAACAGTGCCTAGGATAGTTGGACAGATGGGAAGCAGACGGGTAATCCCAAAGGGGCAAAATGACCCGGCCTCAAACATATGGAGAAGATCCTGGATTAACTTCAGTGGCCACTTCCTGCTGTCTCTTTCAGGCACATACATCAAACAATCAAAGACAATACAGTTTAATATATCAAATACCTGCTCTAGGGAAAAACAGGGAGGGCGAAAGAGCATGATAGGAAGAACAAGAGAGAGTAGCCATTCAGAGAAGAACGGACATGGAAATAGTATGAGGGAAGAGAGTAAGAGGTCCACGTTAAGAATGGCAAAGTTAGGGGTGTAGTTTTAAAGTGCTTATAGGCATGCTACATACAACATAGAGCACACTCTAAAAACCTGTATGATTTATGATTTTGAATCCTACCAGAACTGAATGAGTACTGAAACAGGAGGTGGAGACTCTACGTTCAATTACTGGCTTTATTATATTACTGGCCATTTAGCCTTATCAAGCTCTCTGAGCTTTGGTTTCCTCACATGTAAAATAAAGGCTGAGATTAAATAATGGTCCTTCTAACAATTTATAACAATTTTTAAAACTGTTCCTATCTTATATGAACATTAAGAGAATTAGACTGTCCATGCTGATAATGCCCTATCAAAACAGAAATGTAATATATTAAGTTTATCCTGGAAAATGGCAATGTTAGGTTTTTAAGTAAATTTCTGAGTTCTCTTGAGAACGTGGAACATTGGGGCACCTGTACTGTAAAATCTAAACTAAGAAATCGCTTTGTAAATGTATTCAAAAGCCCAATACCTGGAGTTGACCTGAATCCATACACAGCCCCTAATATGACTGAGTCATCTTACACACTAAAACACTCTAAATGGATCTAAAGAACATTTGCCATTTGTGAGAAAAACCTCATCTTCACATATCCCCAAATTCATCAGAAACATATGTAGATACTTCTGGCTTTTACCGGAATAACATTTCCATTAAGTCACATGGAAGTCCTACTGGTTTATCTCACATATTAACCACGTTTTTAATGCTCACTAATGGGTTTTCTCTGTCTCTCACTTGGGCAATTTTTCTACCACCAGAAACACTCACAGGTAACTTGACAGTGCTAAATTTCAAATTCCCCTCATTACTTTATTAAAAGCTTCATTTTATGGATAAAAACAATCTTCTAAAACATCTTCATTTTCATTAATGGTAATAGCATGTGGTATTCTGAAATTTTTAGTGCTAATTTTCATAAAGTTTTAATCATTAGAGTTCCTGCATATACCCATATAATGTAGCAGCAGGGAATACAAATTTGAATTGGCTTTCAGAAACCAGAAGATCAGGTAGGCTAATGCTCTGTCTACTGGAATCATACCACATTCCACATAGTTGAATTCCTCACTCAACAAAACGATGGATTATTGCACATTCATGAGTCACTCATGAATACTCAAAATCACAAATGTCAATAGTCTAGGATACTCTATGTTAATAAATCTAGTATACAGTATGGGCTAAGGGCCTTAATATCAAAATAGAAAAATTACACATTAAAATAAAGTATAAAAGTAATAACTTTAATACAGTAAAATACTTCAGTGCATACAAACCTTTAAAGCCATCAGGATATACATCAGAAAGAAATTTAGTGTTGATGTCTCCTTCTATAAAGCGTGAGTTGATTATCACCTCTCGGAGTAATGCAATATTATGTGTAACTCCTAAAAACCAAAAAAAGATATCAGATTGAATTAGAGAACGAGTCAGTTAGAAGTCCCTTACTATCCAGAAAATCTGTGTCTTATGACCAAGCAAGAACTAGACAAGATTATTCATCTCGACTTCAAGTAATAACAAAAAATGTCTGAAGCTATGGTAGCAATAAAACACCAAATGCAAACCTAAGAAGTTTACGCTGCCTAGTCAGTTCAATAGGGAAATTAATGTCTTTTCAGTAAATGGTACTGAAACAACTAGATATCCATTTGGGAAAAAAGAAAAACCCTAACTCAGACCCATACACCAAAATTAACCCAAACTGGATCACAAATCAAATGTAAAACCAAAAACTATAAGACTTACAGAAAATACAGGAGAAAATTCTGATTATCTTGAGGTAAGCAACAGATTCTTGGGTAGTACACAAAAACCATGAGCCACAAAAAAACTGTACTTTATCAAAATTTAAAAGTCTGCTTCAAAGGATACAGTTAAGCAAATGAAATGGCAAGCTGAGAGAAAATGTTCACAGCACATGTATCAGACAAAAAAATTTGCATCTGGATTATATAAAGAACACTTAAAACACAGTAAGATGACAGAGCAAAAAATGGGCAAAGGATCTGAACAGACATTTCACAAAAGAAGATATACAAATGAGAAGTTGCTGCACATCACTATCATCAAAGAAATACAACGAGATGCCCCCAAACACCAAATTAAAGTGGCTAAAGGTTAAAAGACAGTGAGGATGTGGGACAACAGAAGTGTCACACCCCGTGGTGGGGATATAAATGGCACAAATCCCTTGGAACTGCCTGGTACGTTCTTAGAAAGTTAAACACATACTTACACATATGACTCAGACAAGTCACTCCTAAATATTTGCCCAAGTTAAACAAAAACATATATCTATACCAACAGTTATACACAAAAGTTATTAGCTTTATTTGCAATAGTCAAAACTGGAAACAATCTAAATGTCAATCAATAGAAGAATGAATGAGCAAAATGTGATTTGTCCATTCAATGGAATTCTATTTAGCAATAAAAAGAAATGAATTACTAAAATACACAAGGATGAATCTCAAAATAATTACGCTGAATTTAACGAGACTACTGTAGGAGTCCATTGATATAAAATTTCAGAAAAGTCTCAACAACCTACAGTGACAGAAAGCAGATCACCTGGTTGCACTGGGGCAGGGACAGAAAGGTGGTGGAGTGCAAACGCAATGAGGAAGCTTTTGGAGGTGACGGAAAGACAGGTACAATAGCAATATACGTTTAAAAGACAGTATCTTGACTGTGGTGAGAGCTTCACAGATGGACACATATGTCAAAACTCATGAAACTAAATACTCTAAATATGAGAAGTTCATTTTATGTCAAGTATACTTCAATCAGTAGAAGAAGAGGAGGAGAAAGAAAGAAGGGGAAGGTAAGGGAGAAAAGCTTGTGATCTAATAGGAAACTCAGAAACACTGAGCCTAGTACACAAGGACTCCTACAAAGTTAAAACAGGTAACTGCCAGGCGCCTGGGTGGCTCAGTCGGTTAAGCGACCGCCTTCGGCTCAGGTCATGATCCTGGAGTCCCGGCATCGAGTCCTGCATCGGGCTCCCTGCTCGGCAGCTTCTCCCTCTGACCCTTCCCCCTCTCATGTGCGCTCTCTCTCTTTCTCTCTCAAATAAATAAAAGTCTTTAAAAAAAAAAAAAAAATTAACTGCCACAAGAAGGATTCGAACAGTATTGGGTGAGTTCTGTGAGGCAGAAGGACTTTTGATCTTGGTCACGCATATCAAAAGATGTAAAGAGGACTAAAAGGGAGGATGAGAACATGTCAAATCCAGGGGAAGCGGGAATTCGATCAGGCTTCCGCAAGAGGGGGACTAGAGCATGACAGAGCTGAGTTAATGTGAGGTTTACTAATTCCTTCCAATTTCTTCATCCCACTTCCTTACCGTCCTCATCTATACCATTCTGCTGCGTAACAAACCTAGAAAGCCTGATTCTGATCTTGCTTCAGTCCTACAGAGTGCTCACTTTCACAAAAATAATTCCAAAGTAAGCAAAGAATCAGACCCTCAGGCTCAAGCAGCAGATCTACCCCTCAGCTTGGGGAAGCTATTTTGCCTCTCAAAGATTCAGTCTGTCATCTGTAAAATGGCGATCCCAACAGAACCTATTTTGCATTGTCGTCACGAGGTACAAATGAGGTAATGCCTAAGGCACTGCCAGGCACTCAGGACGGCGCGTTAATGCTGTGCTCGCTGCGACCCTTCCACACGAGGACAGCCGCAGAGCAGAAGACAGCACGCGGCCGCTACACCTCACACAGCAGTCGTGCTCCTTCGGGAGTCTCCGCACTAACCTCTCTCCCGAACTTCCAGCTTCGCATCCTGCACGAGTCCCGTTCCTCAAAAGTTTACAACGCTTTCTATCCACAGGACACAGCCATCCTAATAGGCAGCGGTCAGCAAACTCAGCCTGCAAAATCCGACTGCCCCCTATTTTTGTAAATCAAGTGTTTCTGGAATACAGCAGTGTTTACATCCGATGTGCGTGCTACAAGAGCCAAGCAGTTCTAACAGCGACCGTGTGACCCACAGAGTCGAAGTGGTTAACTCTCTAGTCCTTCTCTGAAAAGGCTGCTCCCATTTGCTGTAAGGTTTTCAGCAATGCTGATCCTCTGAGTGAATTAATCGCTACCTATCAACACTGACTCTACACCTACTGCTCATGTGCAATCAGGCATCCCAGGAAAGAAAGTAAGGGCCAACGTCGCACGGCAGTATGGCACCTGCTTTGGGGGAACTTTCAGGAACCAGTCACAGAATAAGAAAATTACAAGGAGAAAGGAGATTTAAAAATAAGAACATCGTGATCCAGAGAGACTGAATCATTTATCTAAAGTTTAGTAAAACAGAAATTACAATAGCAAAATATGTTTAAAAATATGGCAGCCTGTGGGTTTCCCCTAAAATGTGCTTTTCATTTTTCCTTAAATATTCTGCCTTAGCAGGATGAAAGACCCCACAGACACAGACTCTACCTGTCTTACAGCTGGACCTGACAAACTAATTCCTAGACGAGGGGCTGGAAGGTAGAGCAACGCATCCAACTCCAGCCTCGCTTACTTGCAAAGAAGAATTGCTTGGGGTTCCTTTCCTCCCTCTTCCTATGGGCTTCTTGATATGGCAGGAACTCAGCTCTGGAAATGAAGGTGAAGCAGAGCAACATGCCGGGGGTGTGGAGGGGGCAGAGGCGTATCTCCTGGAATGACCACAGGACACAAACTTGCCTCATCAGCATAGACCAGCCAGCCAGTTAGATAAGTAAATAATTTTCAGGGCACCTGAGTGGCTTAAGCCATCCGACTCTCAACCACCTGAGTGGTTAAGCATCCGACTCTTAATTTCGGCTCAGGTCATGATCTCAGGGTTTGGAGATCGAGCCCCATGTTGGGCTCTGTGCTGGGAGTGGAACCTGTTTGAGATTCTCTCTCCCTCTCTCTCCGCCCCTCCCCCTCAAGCCCCCTTCTTAAAAAAAAAAAATTAGTAAATAATTTTCTATCTTATTTATACCACTGTATTTAAGAATCTTTGTTACAGCAGGTTATCCTGTACTCTAAAGCATACATATGGGGGAGAAGGGCATACCTTCCAATATGATCTCCCATCTCTGAGCCAACCAACTTAATACATCCACCTAGGCATTGCTCTAGGCATCCCTGCATACTAGACCACGCTAGCTAGCAACCATGTGCGAAACTCTGAGCATTTCTATTCCTGACTCAGAAGATACCGTGTGACTAAAACTTTTATAAAAACCTATTTTCAATGTATTCAAACTACCTCAAAACATTTAGAGAAAGTTCCAAATTAAAATATTAATGCTATTGCTTTAGCTAAACTTCCATGGAAGAAGTTATCACCTATAGACAATGACCTAGTAAAAATCATTCACAGGACATGCCCTGGACAAAGGCACGGTTATCCCAACCTTGCTCTGTGGGTAATGACTAGAAAGGCTGTTGTAATTATGCATATTTCTATGAGGAAAGTATTGGAAGGTATAAGAAACTTCTGATGACACAAATATACCTAACAAGTCATTGCAAAAATGTGACACTTGCCTATATTATAGGTGATATTTGGGTGGATGAAAATGAAGAGCAATTGAAAGCAACATGCTAGGAGTGCTCAGAAAGACAAACTCTGTAAGCAAGAAATTAAAATAAAAGACTCCTTGGAAGAGGTCAGGCTACGAAAGAGAACGGAATCCCTTTGCTGTATGTTTTACGAACAGACAAAACGAAAGCACTTTTGAAGAAGAAAAGGGTATGGCTTGCCAGAGAAATGTCTATGCATGGGTGACAACAGATGTGGCATTCCAGGGAGAGGAAAACAGTGGAGACTTAAGGCAAAGCTTCCCGGCTGGGAGAAGAAATAGAGAAAGAAAGATGGGTAAAATCAGGTTTCTCCCTGACATTAAATATTAAATATTAAAATATTTAAGAATTCTCACTGTTGCTGGGGCGTCTGCGTGGCTCAGTCAGTGGAGTGTAGGACTCTGTTTCAGCTGAGGGCGCAATCTCAGGGTCCTGGGATCAAGCGCCGCAGAGGTTCCACACTCAGGGCTCTGAGTCTGCATGGGGTTCCCTCCATCTCACTCCCCCTCCCCCTCTACTCTTTCCCCTGGTCTCATGTGTGCACACGGGTGCTTGCACTCTCTCTCTAAAATAAATAAATAAAATCTTTAAACAAAAATATTCTCACTATTGTCAAGAGCAAATGGATACCACCAGGTATTTCTGTGGAGAGAAATGAAAGAAGGACACCATGGCCAAAGAGCACGAGCAAAGGAGACAGTGGGGAACGTGAGAAGTCCAACAGGGGCGTTCAGGTCTGATAGCCATGCAAAGATTTTACTTCTCCTCGAGGGCAACCGGAATGGGGGACGCAGGGCAGGTATGACTAGGTTTGCGCTCCAGGAATCAT